CACATTGACGCCCTATCACAACTTCTCACTTCTTTACATTCCAGCCTTCAAAATGTGTGCCCTTTTGTGGTTGGTTGTATAGAGGAAGAACGGCAGCTTGTGGATGACGTCAATCTCGACTGCTAAAACAAACGCCCAACGGATCAACTACTATTCTCCTACAACTTCTAGTGAGGCTGACCACGTGGCCTTTTAGACTGAATATAAATCATCCTCAGATTTTTCTTTAGGCTTCGGACAATATTACCTAGGCTAAAGCAACACTTGGGCAATTTTGGAGCTTTCTAATAAAATCCAGGGCGACTAATCCTACATCCTGCGTGACAATATACCAAGATGAAGCTCGATGCATGCAGCCAATAACGGAGATCTTAGCGAGAAATACGTTATTGGTCTCATCAATACTGTCTTTATGGCCGATCTGTTTTAAAAACAAAGCATTGAGGCGTAAAGCGCAATTTATAAAAGCATAAAACACAATGGATAAATCAAATGAAAAATCAAAATTTACGGATATCATTAGCAAGTACTAGATAAGGATATCATAGACTAAGTTGGATTCATCGGAATTTAATTGCAAAATATTTTAAAAATAATAATATAAAATTTAAGGTCAAGTTGCGTGATCAATTTATGGTCAAGCTACAGCTAAATAAAAATAATATATAGGAAAAACCCGAGACTGACAGGCGGCTTTCGACTCTATTGGATAATAGCCATGATGACGATGAGACGCCAGGGCGGAGGCAGTAGGCTGGGCTTGAGTATAGAAGGCTTCTGAAAGAGGCCAAAATAAACGCGATTCGTCTATTTCGGTGGCGCTCGTAATGTTAGGCGCGAGATTGCTTCCAATGCTGCCACAGATAGATGAATGAGGCTGTGGATAAGAGAGGGTGGTGCGCGTGGCACATGGATATCCAGGATCGAAATGATCAAGAGAAGATTGGTAGGTGGTAGATGGAGAAAGGCATGGGTTTGAGCTGTTTAACGTGAACAATGAACAATTGGAGGTCGAAGCCTGCTGGGCATAGCGCCAGTGCTCCTGTAGAAGAAATTGTCGGACGTGACGCTATGGCGAATAAATAAAAATACGTAGAAAATAGAGACAATGAATGAAGCCAGGTTGTAATAGCTTATGCCCTCAAAGTAGTTTCATAGGAATACAAATAAATAGAAAATGCGTGAAGCTTCAGACTTATCATCTGATGTTGGCGTACATTT